GAACCAGCCCCTATATATATATATATATTTATTTATTTATTATGTACTAAAAGTTGTAGTTAAAATAAATGTGCAACTTGATTATGTTTTATATTTTCCATTAGCCAACTCCAACTGATACAAACATTAATTAGTTTGTCACTTTTTGACTTTCTAATTAAATGCGCGCTATAAACTTTCTCATCGTATAGTCTTACCTTTTTATTACGTAGAGCGTCATTCTTACCCCGTTTAGTTGAAAAAATTAAAGGTAAAAAGTACTTAAATTTGTAACTTAAAAAATTAAGACTAACATACAAATAGTAAATGTCAAAATATATATTTTTTTTATGTACTTAAAAGTTGTAGTTAAAATAAATGTTCTATCTTGATTATGTTTTATATTTCCCATTAGCCAACTCCAACTGATACAAGCATTAACTAATTTATCACTTTTTGACTTTTGGATTAAACGCACGCTATAAGCTTTTCTCATCGTGTAGTGTTACCTTTCTATTACGTAGAGCATCATTCATATCCCATTTATTTAAAAAATTTAAAGGTAAAAAGTACTTAAATTTGTAATAAAAAATTATGACTAACATACCAATTTTAAATGTCAATATATATATATTTTTTATGTACGTAAAAGTTGTAGTTAAAATAAATGTGCATCTTAATTATGTTTTATATTTTCCATTAGCCAACTCCAACTGATACACACATTAATTAATTTGTCACTTCTTGACTTTTAGATTAAATGCTCGCTATATAAGCTTTCTCATCGTGTAGTCTTACCTTTTATTACGTAGAACATCTTTTTTAGTTGATATAATATTAATAAAGTAATTACAGACAATTCAACCAAGACAAATTTTGTTTGTATTGGAAAAATAATTACTAATTATCATAAATTAAATAATTCTTACATTAAATGTGTTATATTTTCTATCATTATCAATAATTTTTAATAAATGGTTGTACACAACATTATCTATGATTATATATTTTTTTTTATTGATTTCCAGCCATACATTTACCACCAGTGAAAGTTGATTACTTTCATCATCCTGCATCCATAGATATTAGATACATATCACCACCAGTGAAAGAAACTAAAAATAGTTTGAATTTCCTGGACCTGGTCAAATGCCAAGATATAGGTACCATTTTTTATTTTCTTTGCTTATTACTAACGATCCAATTGTAGGCTTGCAGCTCGCTTTTAGATATATGTTGGGGTTGTTTACGTGGGTCCCATCCGTGTATAATAGAGAAAACTACAAATTTGCCATTATAATGTATACTTATCCATTTATCTTTGAATAAATTACAAATCTGTCATTACAAATATGATAAAATAAGGGTTTTTTAGGTATATCATATTTTTACAGATTCATTGACTCTTTTATAATAGTATAGATTTCAACCACCTACGTCATGCCACATTCAGGGGCGGATCCGACAAATGGAATGAGGTGTGGCCAAGATTTTGTGGTAATTGGAAAGACGGTACAAAAGTTGGCACAATATGAGACATACAAAACTACCATTATATATAAATTTTGTTTTTTTTTGAATAATTTAAATGAAATATCAAAACATCCTACAAATTGCATATTTCAATATTAATCCATTTCAATTACTTAAAATGTGTTATTATCAATACTAAACTATTTATCTATCAACTGAAAATTTATTAAGTTGTACATATGTCAAGATCTCATAATTAATCAATCACATGTCATACAATGTATGTCAATCTTATTAATACTCGCCGTGGGTAGGAGAGCGATAATACTTCACTATGTTATGATCAAATAACTTAATGCAATATCTCTTATTAGTTGATTTTATTGTTCACACGAATTTTTATTTGACAATAATTTTTCTAACAATTATTATAGTAACATGCAAAGTCATGATAAATTTTTTTTGAAGATACAAGGAATAAACAAGACATTGCAATAAGAAAATTTTATTGTGAAAAAAAGTATAAAAAAACCCACTTAATAAATAACTTCCTTTTTATAAATTATTTTTGTAAACTTACTCACTTTACACTTATTTTCTAAATATATTATGTAATAAACATATAAATTTCAGGTGAGGCCTAGGCCCCATTTGGAGGGGCTTTGCATCTGCCTCTGGCCACATCATATTATCGTTGAATGATGTACAAGAAAGTTGTACAAATAGCTTCTTTCCTAAAATTTTATATTTACAGATGTTTAAATTTCCAAGTAAGAGACCCTTACCCCCTGGGTGCTAAAAGTTCGATCGTAGTGAAGTCTCGGAGGGAGTGAACGTGTGATACTTCCAGTCGTTTAGTAAAAAAAAAAAAAAATAGATCTGAGAAACTAACAAATGAATAGGGTATGAAAACTTATTTTTATTAGAAAATAAAAATAGAGGCCATAAATGGATGAAAAATGAGTAAATAACATATTTTTTAATCAACATTGGAGATAAATTTTTATTTTATTATTTTTTTTTTTCAAAAAACAAATGATATCAATCTCTGGATTATAAGAAGGAAAAACTGGCTGTTCTATGTGGGGACAAGAGATGAATTAGTGAAAAAAAAATAAAAAAAAATGATCAATCTGTCTATTTTACTTATTTATTTCAAATTTCCACACATTGCTTCTTTATCTTTTATCCAGTAATATTCTCCTGGACACAAGTTCTTCAAAATAATATTGGAATTAAGTGTTAGGCATTCAATTATTTATATATCATCATCACACCACAAACTCTTATCTCAAACTATATCAACCCTCCTAACCTCACATTTTCATCAGTTATAATATATAGTTCTTCAATCTTGGTATTACATACATATTTTAGTCCTCAAAGAAAACATACAACACATCTACTCCTTTGGCCTCCCATGGCTGCCTTACACTCATCACCAAATAACATCACCACACACAAAATCCTATATGCACCATGGAGCACCACCACAACCACAACAACAACTAATAAAGGAACCAGCTCAAATATCTTATTTCCCGGCAAAAAGCCGAAAAATAGGCCGATCGTGATAAGATGCTCCGCGGTAGCTAGCTTAGAGAACATCGAGGAAACCGATCATCATCGCCATCACGTGGAGCTGGTCCAGCAGGAAGACCCGAGGCCACTGAGCCAGATATGGAGAGAAATCCATGGGGAGAGAAACTGGGAAGGGCTGTTGGACCCGATGAATTCGCACCTCAGGCGGGAAATCATACGGTACGGTGAGATGGCCCAGGCCTGTTACGACTCGTTCGACTTCGACCCGGGGTCGAAATACTGTGGGGCGTGTAAGTATCAGGGGGCCAGTTTCTTTGAGAGGTTGGGTATGGCGGATCGGGGCTACACCCTGACCCGGTACTTGTATGCTACCTCCAATATCAACCTGCCCAATTTTTTCCAGAAATCTAAGGTAAGCAGAGTTCAAAATATTTGTTATCTTAGATTTTTAATGGGATTAAGTATATTCGAAATTCGTTTTCTAGTGAAATATTATTAAGTATAGTTATTGAAAAAAAAAAAAGTATAGTTGTTGTACATAAAATTTGCCACTAATATGTGGTAATTATAGCATGTTTGTTTATAAATAAACTAGTAGATATCTTGTGCACATGCACATATGTACATTAAATATTAATAAGAATATTTGAGAATTTAATATTAAAATTCTCAAAAATTTGATCATTAAGAAAAATAAATTAAAGATTTTATTATTATGAACAATTGTTTATTATCATTAGATAATAACAGTTTGTTTATTATTATTGTTATTATTATTATTATTATTATTAAAACAATTGTTGATAAACGTCTAAAGTTGTTGACTTTGCTATTAAAACATTTTACTAATTATTTTTAAAGAAATTTTTTATGAGATAAAAAAGGAAAAAATAATATTGATGTTAAAATACATAACTTGAAACAATTGTTTATAATTATGTAATTTATATTTATTGTGAATTATTAGTTGGTATTAATAATAATTATTATATAATATAATGAAAACATACATGATTACACTCATTAACATGTATTAATGTGATAAGTAAAAAATATTAATGACAAATTTTGTAACCGAAAATGGAGGGAAAATTTTAGAGGTTTTATTAAATGCTACATGCCAGCAATTACATATATATATATATATATATATATATATATATATATATATATATAGATCTGATCAAAAAGAGTTTTTTTGGATTAATTAAAGTTAATTTAAAAAAAAAATTGAATGGTTAGTTGTGAATGAGATTTTGAAATTATATTAATTAATATTTAAAATAAAATAATTAAAGTTGATTTAGTGTAAAAGTATGAGAAAAATGATATGTAGAGTGATAATTAGTTAAAATTATTTGAGTTGATTAATAGTGAATTAAAATCGATTTATGTATAAAAAATAATTGATTTATATATTGTATTAATTATATTGATAATAATGAGAGAGTGCAGGCAATTATCTTTGCGTTAACGACTGAACTATAAACTGTGACATTTTATTTGTAGTGTCATATTTGATCGAAAAATGATGAAAATGTGCCCCATTAGCTGTTTCTTATAGGTAATTATTATTTTTTTTTTGGTACAATAGGTAATTAATAATTGACTAACTGCACATGTATTATACTATATGTTCACATTAATTAAAAAAAAAAAAGATGAAAATCTGACAGTCTGTCCTCGATTCATCATACTATAGATGAGCAGCATCTGGAGCCCGCACGCCAACTGGATGGGCTACGTGGCAGTTGCCACCGACGAGGCCGAGATCCGCCGGCTCGGCCGCCGTGACATCGTGGTGGCTTGGCGTG